GCTGGGGAATTCTGGGAGTTGAAGTCCACCAGGCTTAAAGTTGCCAAGGTTGGAGACCCCTGTTCTAAACCGATTCAGACGACAACATGTCCGTGTTCGGTCTTTGGGGAAGCTTTCTCCAGGGATGCTCAGACCAGTGGAACCCCTTGCCTCCAGAAAGATGTCGAGACTCTCCGTGACAGATTAAGGCTCACTGGTGCCCTAAGCACTAACAAATCTTGGTAGGGCCCCCTTCTTTGTACATACTGTGCAAACGAAGCCAAGCTTAGGCTACGTAAATTTTGTGGTGCTCCCTTTGAGCCTGGTGCCCTAAACATGTGCTTCGTCTGCTTAAGGGTTAAGACACCACTGGAGACTGTAGGAAAAGTGCAGAGAAGAGCAACCAGGATAATTAGGAGACTGGAGCAGAGGTGGTATTCAGCAGGTTCTGCCCAGTTCTGGAGAACCGGTAGCAGAAATTTTGAGTAGTTCGGAGAACCAGCAAATACCACCTCTGACTGGCCCCATCCCCATCTATTCTCTGCCTCCCATTGAGTCCCAGCTGATTGGCTGGGTCTTCTTTGGTTGCCCTGCACAGGAAAACAGAGCTGGAAAGCAGGTTAGTGGGGTGGGGCGGGAATAGGATTTTGCAGTAATCTTCCCCCAGGAGTGAGGTGGGAATGGAGATTTTATAGTATCTTTCCCCTGCCATGTCCACCAAGCCACACCCACCAAGCCACACCACGCCTACAGAACCGTTAGTAAAAAATTTTGAACTGCTGTGAGGGGAGTTGGGCTGAGGGAGAGCTTCTGGCCCAAAGTCACTCAGCTGGCTTTCATGGCTAAGACAGGATTTGAACTCACGGTCACATAGTCCCCATCTGTTCTCTGCCTCCCGAGTCCCAGTTGATCTGTGCCCTGCACAGGAGAACGAGATGGAAAGCAGGTTAGTGGGGTGGGGAGGGAACGGGGATTTTGCAATAACCTTCCCCCTGGAGTGGGGAGGGAATGGGGATTTTACCGTATCCTTCCAGGCCCACCAAGCCACGCCTACAGAACCGGTAGTAAAAAAAGTTTGAATCCCACCACTGGACTGGAGACAAACATATGAAGAATGGTTTTCAGGAACTGGGCCTGGCTAGTCTAGTGAAGAGAAGGACCAGGGGAGACAGGATAGCAGTCTTCCAATATTTGAGGGGCTGCCACAGAGAGGAGGAAGGGGTCAAGCTGTTTTCTAAAGCGCCCGAATGCCAGACAAGGAATAATGGGTGGAAACTGAACATGGAGAGATTCAACCTGGAAATAAGGAGAAACTTCTTGAGAGTGAGGACAATCAACCGATGGAATAGAAGTTGCCTTCTGAAGATGGAAGCTTCATCACAGCTTTCAAGAAGAGACTGGACTGCCATTTGTCAGAAATGGTGTGTAGAGTCTCTTGCTTGGGCGAGGGTGGGAGGTTAGACGAGATGGTCAACAAGGTCCCTTCCAGCTCTGTTCATCTGTTAAATTGTGGGCACTGCAACCCTGGAGGCTTTTAAGAAGAGATTGGACAACGATTTGTCAGAACTGTTATAGGGCAGAGGTCTCCAAACTTGGCAACTTTAAGACTTGTGGACTTCAACTCTCAGAATACCGGGAGTTGAAGTCCACAAGTCTTAAAGTTGCCAAATTTGAGGACCCCTGTAATAGGTTTCATGCTTGAGCAGAGGGTTGGAACAAAGTCCCTTGCAACTCTGTTATTCTGTTTTGTTTACCTCCTTCACCGGCCCAATAGCAATAACAATAGCACTTAGACATATACTGCTTCGTGATGTTTTTACAGCTCTCTCTAAGCAGTTTACAGAGTCAGTCTATTGCCCTGAACAATCAGGGTCCTCATTTTAGCCACTTTGGAAGGATGGAAAATCCTGAGTCAACCTTGAGCCTGGTGAGATTCATACTGCCAAATTACAGGCAGCCGGCAGGCAGCAGAAGCAGCCTGCAGTACTGCGCCACCATGACTGTTTTATTACCCAAAGTAGGTAACATCTTCATCATCATTAACACTGACGATGCTACTTAGTTTAGCTAATAAAACATCTGCAAGAAAACAGTCGAGCTCAGAGAGCAGCAAGGGCCTCTTCATGTCAACCCTGAGTTAATAAATATTTTTTTATCAGCTTCCTGGGTCTGCTAGAGTTGTGGGGTTGCAATATTCTGGGTGAAGCTGCAAAACCCTGCAACTTTCTCTACTACAGACACTGTTCAGACCCAGGCTTCGTCAAACGTAATTAAACACAAACTTGTTTTAAAAGCAAAACCCATTTTAATGTAGCGCTGGGAATTACTTCCATTCACAGCCAGAACTAAACTTAAAACAGTTCCCCAAGATAAGCACATGCTTGTCAGTGCTGTGGAATGCTGCCCAAAACAGAAGTATCCAAATTAATTATAACAGTATCAGAAAAAAAAAATGACCAGAATACACAGGGCTTCAAAAAGGGCTTGGAATCTATTGAATTGCTTTGCTTCCTGCAAAGAGTTTGTCATTGAGGTCTGACTTTTATCCCTTATGGGAGGGGCAATCACCTTACTCCCGAGTCCATTTGTTCCTCTGCCTCACTGCTGCCAGACTCTGAAGGCAGCACCCCACTCTCAGATGGTCCTGGCCCCATCCCTGCATCGGATGCAGGACCCTCGTCCAAGTCCTCTCCAGACTCCCTGACTGGTCCCGTTTCATCCTCACTGTCCGATTCCGCTGTCGTCTGTACAGCTGCTGGTAAATCACAATAGACACAGGTGCCTTGCTGTATTATAGCCTGAAGGCAGGTAAAATAAAGGAGAATTGCAGTTGTGTCTGCAAGAAGGATGTGAAGGAGTCAGAGAGAGTTTAAAGCTACACCCTCCTCTGTCTGTAACTGCTATAAATGTGTGTGTGTGTGGGGGGGTGGGGGTTGCCTGCTTAGATAAGAGTTCAGTTTTTCCATATTTGGACTGGGTGAGTGAAATTGCTAATGCCTCAGAAACCCATACAACCCAGTAAAGGTTAATATCTGTTTAAAACAATTAAAATGGCTACAGTTGAAAATAGCAAGCAAACAGCACAGGAATCAACTACCAAGAAAGGAATTTCTCTATGTGCTTCTTTGGACTGGTGGAGGTGAACTGTCAGTCAGGAAAAAGAAATCGGCAGCGAAAGTGGTTCAAACCTTTACAGGTTGAATGCATGCGAACACCTTCTACAAAGGATTAACGTTCAAAGCAAATTGGTGACAGATGAGAGTCAACGGAATTCGAGGTGGGCTGGACTTAGGCCTCTGGTGGGTATGAATGGGCTTGAGACTGATGACATGTTTCACCCTTCCCTCGGGTTCAGCCTGGTCATCTATATGGATTTGTATTTCTTTTTTAATAAAAAAAATATCCATTTTGATTGGTTTTTATTGGATTTGTATTTCTTGAGCTTCTCATCTTCAATCTCTGCAGCCAGACCCCTCAGGCTGGTTGACTAAAGGATGCATGTAAGGAAATGCATGTAAAGAAAAGAAGAAAAAGAAAGAAAAGGAAGGAAGGAAGGAAGAAAAGAAAAAGAAGGAAGAAGGAAGAGAAGAGACAAAAAAGAAAAAAAGAAAAAAAAAAAGAAAGGAAAGGAAGGAAAGAAAGGACAAGGAAGGAAGAAAAAGAAAAAGCAGGAAAGGAAGGAAGGAAGAAAAGGAAAAAGGAAGGAAGAAAAGAAAAAAGAGAAGAAAAAGAAGGAAGGAAAGAAAGAACAAGGAAGGAAGAAAAAGAAAGAAGGAAAGGAAGGAAGAAAAGAAAAAGGAAGGAAGACAGAAAAAGCTCACTGCAGGAAAAGGCCATAAGAGCAGAGGTTTGATGGCCAGAGAGCCTCAGGCTAGAATGATGCAGCTCCAGGGCAGGCAGGAACTGGGGGCTCCCGAGATCCTGCTGAACACGGAAAGGCCAAGCAGCCAAGGGGCCTGGCTAGAGGGACCCCAGCACTTGGAGAGCCACCCCTGAGCAGAATGCTACCAAAGGGAATTGCCAGTGAGGTCCAGGGAGATGAGGAACATCCTCCTGTCCCGAGAGCATTACGGCATCTCTTGCTGTCTTTCAATGGAGGAAGGTGTCAAGGGAATTGGCAGACGCCATGTTGGGACGGTATTCCATCAGGTCCCCTCTTCCCTGGGAGACATCTCTTCAGGGTCCAAGCAGGCCAAGCTGGGGTCTCAGGAGGAAGAGGTGGTCTCTCTCCCCTGTCCCCCCACACACAACCAAAGTTGGCCTTTTGGAATCAATAACTAGCAACATCAGAAAAGCTAAGAGACCTTTGAGTTGACCTCAATTGCTGGAGATCACAGCAAGCTGCCCTTCATGGTAAAATCAAGGGAGGGCTGACTGTCGGCTATTGCTTTCCTTTAGGAGACAGATATCCCATCTGGCCAAGAGTCCTGGGGTTCCCAGGCCATCCCCCATAGGACAATTAACCAGGATCTGGTCTGGCTTTGCTCCCGAATTAGGTTAATGTTGGTTAACTGCGGTTAGCTGCTGCCCTCTGCTGACGCAAAGGAAGAAACGGAGCTGGATGATCTCTACAGACTTGAAGAGATGCTTCGTTTCCTTTACTTGCAAGTGCAACAAGCAGAGCACCCACCTCATCCTTTGCACAGGAATCTAGGTTTCACGATCAGGCCGGCGGTCGCTTGTTATTTGTGTATTTGACAAGT